AAACATTACTTGGCTTTGTGTCTTATAAGGAATTAATAAATTCTTATTTTTAAAATACAATATCATTTCTCATTACTGAAATATGTTGAAAAAAAAATAACATCCGACGCAGTAAAAGGTGGGGAAACCCAGAAGAGATCAGCAACAGCCTGGTAAGGGTTGCAAAAAGAGGAGTCCTACTCTTGCGACTCACTCCAACTAAGTCTAGTAACAGAGAAGAAAAAAAAAAAAGTAATAATCCTTCAGCACGACAATTAACCAGTCACGCGTCGGCTGGTAGAGAAGAAAGATCTTGTGAGAGTACGGAGGACGATTTTTATAAGGAGGCTAACCGCTTCCCACAATCCTCCTCTTACCAAGACCATAAGTATCAGTTGGTCACTTGCTTCCAGTTTAGCTGGACACAATTCCCCCGAGGCTGAAGCAACCCGTCCGTAAGTACCCCCCTCCTCTCTTCCTCTCCTTTTCTTCACAAATATAATATTTAAAGTGATTACAAACACAGGGGAGGGGGTTACATACTGTTCTTAAGTATAGGGCCTGGGAGTGACATGTTGAGCCTAAGCAGACTGCACAGATACTACACTGCTCTTATAAGACCTGTGAGTGACACTTTGATTCTAGGCAGAATGCACAGATACTACACTATTTAAATTTATATAAGCAGAGTGCACAGATACAATGTTATTTATATTTATATATTTCAAAACTCAAATTTAAACACTGAATACTATTAAGGATTTATCAAAATTTACCAATGTCTTTGTCTGATATGGATAAATTAGTAAAATCATGAACTTTATAATTTGAGTTAATGTTACAAATGAAAATGAAAATTGACTGCAAAGATATCATATAAAATGTTATAATTTTGATGATGTCTTCACTAAAATCAAATAAAGGCTTTAACTTTATCATAAAAAGTTAATTAATCAGTAAATTTTGCAAGTTACTACACCTTTGTACAATGGAAATTTTTTTTTTAATATTTTTCTTATATTGATAAAATATGTCTAGTGCAGAAGAAAGAAAGCATATTTTTCGATTGTATAACTTTGATAATGGCTTCATTTATTTACCTTCTATAATATCGGGAGTTAGTATTGACATTATCAAAGGTTTACTATGATAGCTGAAAGAGCAATACAAAATCAGAAGGAGGTGTACCTGTGTTTTATAGATTATGCACAAGTATTTGATAAAGTACGTCACCAAGAAATGTTGGAACTGCTAGGTAACCTTGACATATTTGGGAAGGATTTTAGTATAATCCAGAACCTATACAGAATCCTTTATGGCATATGTTTTATTGTAGTTTTACTGGCTCACAGGAAGTAGTATGCACTCAACTGCCTCATGAGTAACTGCTGTAGCTATTTAAATGAGTCACCTCATCTCCCTGTACCAAAGAGATTTTATCTCCTTATTTTCCCTGGTACTTCTTCTGGGATCTTTTGCCTCCTCACTATCTTCCACCCTCTCCCTAAGATATTGTCTGGATATGGGAGATCATGATCTTTTTCATTTGACTGGGTTTTCTGACAACAGTTTCTCAAATTCACAATATTTAGCAGCCTGTTTTAAATGAAGAACATATTCAATAACTGGTTCATTGATTTTATTGAGAAATATTCATAAATTTAGTTCTCTCTTCATAGTTTTTTCTTGGGTTTTATGTTTTTCACTATTAGTTGACTTATAACATCAAACATCATTTCCTCCAATTGTCTTGGGTGTGTAATTGCTGATAATTTTTCTAATGGCCTCACAACCAGCAGTTGTCAACTAGAGATCCATTATTTGGTTTTCTCCTCCAACTAATTTTAAATCCTTCAGATTTTTTGTTCTAGCTTTAACTGTTAGTATCCTAAGCCACACTTGTACATATTCATAATTATCAAATGATAATTGTTCATTTGATTCTTTAGATATCAGCAGCTTCTTTGAAGTGTAGTGTTACTGACTTGCAGGAATAAATGAGTCACCTTAATATGTCTAAAGATAATTGAATTTGTTTGGTTATGTTGCTCTCCTATTCTTGCCAATTAATAAGACAGGTAGCATTATGTTACATGGTACCAGGATTGGTGAAGAAGTAATACAAAAAATAATAAATCCTGGGAAATCAAAAGTTTTGCAAATCTAAAGCAAAGAATTGCATTCATACAAGAAATAATTTTTTTTAAGAATAAAATTGAAAGAAAAATTGCAATTTATTAAAGCTTCATCTGGGAATGAGATTTGGAAAAAACAATTTTCTGGTATTTTTATTTTTGTGTTGTTTAATTTTCATTGGTTAAGCAGACTTCACATGCATTTGACTTGTCAAACAGCATCTGTGTGTGAAATTTATGTGTGTAAGTGTATTCTAATTCTAGTTTGTCTATGCGGGATTCGGATGATTGTGTTTGTGTGTGTGTGTGTGTGTCTAGTGGGCATTATTTATGTTTGGAAGTTATTCACATGTTGATTTGTGGACATTTTTATATCAACATTGGTTGTGGTAATTAAATATAGAGTAAGGTCTTTAGATATGAGCATACCGATATACAAGTTTTTTTGAGATATGAGCCAGAGTTTGACTGACTTTTTTTTCCTTGAGATATGAGCTGAATTTTGAGAGATGAGCAAGTTTCAGTTAAACATCCAATAATTGGTGCAGCAATCACCAAGCTTTGAGATTATTTCCACTCACAGAACATGTGTTCACCTTACTCTGGAAGGATCTCTGTTGTTTTATGTTATCTTTTTTGTCATTATTTTACAAAATTCCTTTAGTGGCACCAGGGATCTGAAGAAAGTAAGCATAATGATCACTGGTGAATAGCCAAAACATGTGATTTCATTTGAAGTAAAGCAGAAAATTATAAAAAAAACATGAGGAAGACGTACAAGTAATTTGGTGAGACAGTATGAGTGTTCTACATCGACCATAAATAAAAAAAACTATAAAATTAAAAAATAAATACAGTAAAGGATAAAATGTAAATGTTTAAAAAAATTTAAAATTAAGTAATAAAGTTAATCTTCAATATTGTAGACTAGGTTAGCCGTTGCTAAGCTAGCTGTTGTTGTCCCCCTCTCTCTCTCCCCTCCGCCAATTGACCTACGACTGAACTTCATGGTTTAGTATAGCTTATGTCTCTACAATTTTTTCACTTTTATTTTATTGTTTGTAAACTACATTTCTTGTTTATTCACACATTTTTGCTTGTAAAAAACATACAAATACAAAAATGGATGAGTTTTAGGAAAATAAGGGTGATTTTTAGGAGCCTGGAATGAATTGGAAATATTCCCATTAATTTCAATGGGGGGGAAATTGGTTTGAGATATGAAACTTTGAGTTACGAGCTCAGTCTTGGAACAAATTAAACTTGAATTAGAATGTTATAATTATTTGTCCTTTTCATCATTTTTTTTTTTTTTTTTTTTTTTAAACTCACTCCTTATCCTTACCTTTCTCTCTTTTTCTCCCTTCTGTTTCAGTTGTAGCCATTTTGACTTCCGGTTTCCCAGACATATACTGTTCTTGTTAATTCTTGAACATTCTAGTGTTTTCTTGAGTTAGGAAAATTTTCATTTTTTTTACATAAATAATTTTTTTAATGTGTAAATAATAAGGTAATTATTTATATATGACTTCAATTGGCTATTATTTTGTTTTCTTACCTGATTTGGTAGTATCTTAAGTAAGTATTAGGGTATTAATTGTAGGAGGTTAGGTTTATGGTTAAAATTTTATTATTGTTTGAATATGTGTGCACACACAGACACATATGCATGCATATACATATATAAGTATACACACATGCACATACATATACATATGAAAGAAAAATACAGAAAAAACAAAATTCTGAATATGCATTATTAATGTTAAAATAAAGTCGACGTCGGACGTTTCGGTCTATTTAAGACCATCTTCATGGACATTTTCATTTAAACATAATTAACATTATAACTTATAACAATTTAACACAAAAGACGATGGACATAAGAGCCCAACTAATTCAAACAGATAACTGAAATTTTATACAGATCAGCGTTCAGTTATCTGTTTGAATTAGGTTTAAATTAAGATCCATCGTCTTTTATTAACCATAAGTTATTATAAATAATATTTTTTTAACATTAATAATGCATATTCAGAATTTTGTTTTTTCTGTATTTTTCTTTCATACTGTCGGATTTATATCCATATATTTGCTTACATATACATATGTATACAAACGCACACCCAAACACATACACATGCATCTCTGTGCTTTTTATACAAATTAGTGCTTAAATGTTATGTGATTTCCCACCCACCCCAAATGTTAGGGTGTTAATTATAGATGATTGGGTTTATAGAGTAGTTTCTTTATTTTTTGAATATATGTATATAGGGTATATAAAATATATACGGTGTGTGTTTGGCAGAGTGCCAAGTTTGAATTCCATTTGAGCTCATTACATTTACTTAAGTGCAGATACCCTTGGAAAAGTTATGACTCCATCTCCTTGCCACCCCCAGGTAAAATAGAAGGATGGACTGAGCCCTACAGCCTTGATTGGCAATCAATCTAAGAGAAGGAAAGTTCTCAATTCAAACCAGCCTTGGGGGCTGTTGAGCTCTGTCAGTCTATCTTGCCCAAGATGCACCACTGCTGCTGCGACTGTGGAGCCCTTACAACCCTAATGCATTACAGGACTCAGCTGTTTAACATTCTTCCTAGGGCTCCAAAAATGATTGGCATTACTTTTATAATAATAATTATCTAACCTTTTGTTTTCTTTTAGCCATTATTCCAAAGTTTGAGAACTGTTTTCTCCTTTGCTTCATCAACCAGTCTAGCTTTTTGTAGAAAGTGCTAAATTTTTCTCTCTCTCTCCCTCCCTCTCTCTCCCTCCCTCTCTGAATGTTATTCAACTTTCTTACCTCTGTTTTCTTTTAAATTGTCTTTTGCTTAATTTGCTTTTAAATTTCTCTTCAACAGATTAGTTATCATCTTGAAATGGCTTTCAAAGGCACCTCACATTTCATTGGACGACACGAGGAAAGAGAGCAAATCAAGGAGCTCCTTGTATCTGGAGACATTCAAGTTCTACAAATTTATGGCCTTCCCTCTTCTGGTAAAACAGAATTGATCAGACAAGTGAGTAGAAAATTATTGGACAATATAAAAAGGACTAATACTATATGTTAATTCTCATCTAAAATAGCTGAACAATTTATTTGATCCTATGTGATACTATTTAGCTATGGTAATTGGCTAACTAATTAACCATAGAAATTAAAAACAGGAAATACTTAAGGCGAGAAAGAGCTCTATTGAAAGATAGACTGAGCAGCATTAAAAAGAATTTATTTTATTTACAAATGAAAGATACTTTTCACAAAAGACAGAAAATCCGTAAGAAAAAACGAGATTGTGATTCTGTCAAAATTAATGTCACGATAAGGGAGTGACACACCAAATGAAACAGAATTCTGAAAGAAAAACAAAGCCAACCAACGCATGCGACCATAAAAAAATTTCAGCTTGAGACCACCAGGGAGAATAGATATTAATTATCTTTCAGAGATATTATTTAATTTCAATTCCTGGTTCCAGCGATGGAAGCCATCTGGGATATGCATGAATCTTGGCATGAGAAGGGAATCGTAAAGGGAATCATTATTATTGCTTATTCAAACTGTTGACTTCAGACATAGCGTCTCGAAAATGAGCATCTGGTGACAAGAGAATTTTAAGGCATGAGAAAAATAAAGAATTTGATTCTCAGGTAAACACAACCACCCAGTTAAAAGTTGACTAGCGGAGAAACCAGGTGTTGGGTTTTGACAGTGATTAATGAGTTGGTAGAGGTTCAGGCTAAGTGAATTTTGGGTGCCCCTGAAAGAAAGATGTAATAAGAATTATTTGGCAATCTGGGATTTGTAAATGTTTTGGCCGAAGGAAAAGAAAAAAAAGGATTTTGTAAACAAAATTCCAGATAATAATTTTAAGAAGGCCAGTCTAGCCACACCCACACTGCTGAGAGATCATTGGGCAAGTGGTAGCATGAGTGATAGGCGGAGGTGAATGTATGAGAAAGACAGAGGAGTTGTTAACACCCACTGAGGGGATTGGTATGAGTTACCAATGTGAGAGAGGAAGAGTCTAGGAGGATAACTCTCCTCCAACCTTCCCTTACAGACAAGGGAGGTACCCCGGAAGTGGAAAGTGATTAATCTTCAAAAAATGGGAAGTAATTAATTTTCCTGACCTAAGAACAAAGAGAATTCTTGTTGGGAATTGAGAATTATCAAGGAACCCAAACCACGTCAGGCCCCCACACCAGGTTTTGGTCAGTGTCCATACAAACGAATGTCTTGAGGCAGCTGGTGAGTTCCAGTCAGTTCGAGTTTGGAGTTAATTTGAGAAGTTAGAGAGTTGAGTTGCAGTTGGAGACCAGCCTCGCAGAAGCTGAGCAAAAGATTTCCATGTCCTCTCGACTTAATCTTCCTACCAAAAGCAAGTTTTACTGACGAATGATTTAAGATACCATAACTCGCTTAAGAAATGCAAAAAATGTCACAAATCCATAGAAACGGGCTGGGAGAGAAACACACTCCTGTATTCAACAGACAGATAAAGATAATTATTATTTCTCAACATATTTGAACCTCTTGAGTTTGTTTTATTATTTTTTTTTTTTTACTTACTCTTGTGCAGTATCACCTTTACCCCAGATTCAGCTTGCACTACTGCCCGACGCCTGATTGATTTCGTCTACCTAAGATCAAAGTCACAACATGGGTAGGTTAGACTTGAGATCAAAGTAGTTACTTTGGTGACCAGGCGTTGGAGGCGAGCTGAGAACGACAAAGCTGGTATAGAACTGGGAACGACCAGATCTACCAAGACATAGGCTGGTGGCAGCAATAAAGAGTCAACCATAAAACGCTAGATGGAAGAAACCATACAGCTTTGTGCCACAACTGGGAGTTGACCATGGGCTGACGGTGCAGTGTCATATATTGATGTCGCAACCAGTGGACATCACATATTGGCACAGCGACCACACCAGTGGGTGTCACATATTCGACCGCGACCACTGGTGGGTGTCACACCTATCTATTCTCATTGTTAGTGCTGTTATCACTATATTATTAGGTTATATATTCATTTTTAAAACTTTTTAATATTTTAAATTCTTCATTTATTTCATAAACATCTTAACCCTCCATTAATAGTGTGGGACATTGTCACAGTATTAGTCAGGACCAGTGCAAGGATATCATTCCCTCTACCCTGAATCTATGATACCTGCCCCCAGAATTGATATAAGGCTCCCCATTCTAATACATCTCAATTTTCATAATGTATATTCATATAAAATACAAATTTTATTGTTACCTAATTTTGTACAATAATGTAATATAGATGAACAATTCAACTAGAAAAATTGAAAATAAATACAATGTATCTTAATACAAAATAGATGTAACAGTCCAAGTTGAAATAACAAGAAGAGTTATCAAGAAATCATTCTGTCTAGTCTATTTTCTATTGTATAAGAATTGTTTTCATAATAAAAAAAAATGTATTTCCATAAAATACCTCAACAATTTTTGGAACATAAAAAATTTGAATTTACATCATATCTTTCTTCTTTTCCTTTTTTTTCTTTGCGGATGAGTCTAATATTTTCACAAGGTTAAATTTAACCATTTACATTTCTACAGATATTTTTGAAAAGTCAAATTAAAAAGACAATATTAAATTTTCTTGGGAACTTTGAAGTAATATAAATATGTTATTCTATTTTCACAATTGAATACATGGTAGATGAAACTCAGCTTTTGCGCATATACATAATTATAAGAAGTGGTGATATGTGTGTTTTATATAGCTTAATGTCATGAACAAGTTCTTCAATGTTGGTTCTTTGGTTGATTTTGTTTAGTGGCATATCAACACCTCTATGGAATATTTAATGCCAAAATGTAAATATTTTGAACAAAGTTGTATGCCTTCAACTACAGATAAAATGTATTGCTGGTATTTTTACTATAAAAATGTATTTTTATACTTTTATAGTGTTTTGCTTTTGTTTGGCGTATTCACTATTTGCTCATAGCTTAGAGCCTAACAGGTACTACCATCCCTGATCATGGCAGACCTGGGGACAACAGCAATTAAAGAGGATGATTCCATGGTCCTCAAAATCTCCAATGTTTCTATCAGAGGACTTTCTGCTGGATGTAGTTTGTCATCATATCCAGGACTAATGAAAATTTGACTTGGTATTTTGGAGGTGCTGTAACATGCTGCAGTACTAACAGAGCTCTGATAATATTTTTTTTATGCTACTAACAACTATAAAGGATAAGAAAGTTAAAAAAAAAAATTCGATTTTGAGATGGCTTAAAAGTTTTAGATGATTAAAGTTGATTTAAGGGACGATTCTGGGATGATGTCAAAATGTTAGTCTTGATGCTTACCTTGAAGATAACCCCCTAAAATTGAGATGCATATTCTTCTTAGTTTATCAGTATAATATTTACATTATTCGGACTATTGTCCTAATCTTTGTCGCCATATTTATTACAATGTTTCGGTCGTTGTACGCTCCAGCCTTCTTCAGGTGGTTAAAATGTCAAACTGAACCCTTTATTTCACTCACTGGGGTAGACTGTTCTAGTTCCATGTGCCATGTTCTTAATGGATGTCAGTTATCAGTTATCTCCTGTTAATTTCCCTCTGAAAGTTCTCCACAGCCTTAACCAGGTATTGAACTCACACACTTTGGGTCCCGTCACTGGATCTAACCAACACCTTTATCCACTGTGCCATGTGTCCATGAAAAATATAGACAGATATTATCAGTATAAATGAGATTAGACCTCAGTGAGTTATACTGATAGGTTGAGGTCAATATTTGGTATGCTCATTTAGATTATTACTGGTCCTAACCCTGCATCTCAGCTTCAGTCCCTTCTCCACCACCATAACATAGCTTCCCTGTGTTTTTTCTATAAATATTTTCATGGCAATTCTTCTGATGAGCTTTCTTCTTTGTTACCTTGACTTTATGAATTTAAGAACAGAACAAAAAGTTTGCAATGGATAAATTATCATCTAAATTATGCAAAAATGAAAATAACACTAACATCTCATTTTAACAGATATATTTACCAAAATTACATAAAAATATTTTTAAATGCTAAAGAGTAAATTTAATCCAAAAAATTGCCATTGGCTGCAAACACAGCCTCCAGATGACTTTGGAATCTCCTGCAACTCTTCTGGACAGATTCCCTGTTTAAGTTGGTGACCTTCATTCCATCTTTGGTGTTACAAGGAGTTTTGTTGGTCTCTCGCTCAACTGCACTCCACACATAATAATCAAGGTGGGGGGTTGCAGTCTGGGGAGTTAGGTGGCCAGATGTAAGCAATGATGTGATCGCAGAAATTGTCTGACAGCCATGACTGGGTTCACTTGCTTGTGCAGCATGGTGCAGAGTCCTGTTGCCAGACATAGGGTCTTCCAGCAGCCATTCTCTTGACACATGGCAGCACTAGCTCCTCAAGGCACTTGATGTAGACCTCAATGTAAGTCTGAGGCCCTGTGGGAAGATGAATGGAGGCATAATATCGCCATCATTAGTGATCACTACAAACAACTTCATAATCACCATAAGCCTCATCCAACTCTTTCTGAATCCTCACAGATGGTGCCCAAATGAGCCTACTGTACTGTGCAGTCGACAAAATCAATGTTATTGCAAAATTAAAAATATAAAATGTTAACAATTTACCCATCGTACCCTGTAGATGAGCAGCTAGCACTCATCATTTTACAGTTGAAATGTCTAGATGAAACTATAAGTTCTATACTAACATTTTTTCTCTCAATTTTCTCAATTGTGGAACTCTCTTCTGGCTTCTTTCTTTCCAGTCAAATTTGATCTTAGAAAAATTTAAATGCAATGTCTTAATTTGTCTTAATTTCTGTTCTTTTATTGTTCTTGCTCCTTAATAAGGTTTTTTCCTTTTCTCTTATTCTTTCACATTCAGTAACTCCTTTAATCATAGTGGCTTTATTGCTTTGTTTGGGGTGAAATGATTAAAAAAAATCCTGTTTGTATTATATGTAATTTTAATTTATACTTAAAAAAACAAAAAGTATAATATACTCTAATTCTTTTCTTTTTTTCATTTTTTTTCCTTCCAAGGTTTGTCGTGAAATAAATTCTGAACTTCAAGTCCAAATTCTTTATAGAAGAATTACAGATGGACAGTTGCTCAACACTGAAATCTGCCAATTTCTTAAAGACATCAAGAACTCAAAGATTTTATCCATCATTGTCTTAGACTGTTTTGAAAACATTTCTGAAATAGAAGAATTTAACAAATTTTGCCTGGAAAATTTATGGAATCTTCCTTGCTTGAAAATTATTCTTATATTCCAAGGATTGTTCCCTTTAGAAATCCAAGGAAGTCCTGATGAAAGAATCAATGTGAAACCAATGAATATAGAAGATGCTCGCTGCTTGTTTTACCGAAAGACAAAACTTATGTTGGACAATCATTCAGACCAGCAGGTCAGTGAACTTGTTGATTATTGTGGTGCACTTCCTGGACAAATTGTTAAATTAACAAATAAAATTGCCCAGTTTCCAGTTGACACATCCCTAGCAGAGGTCTATGAAGTTATCAAAGAAAACAAAAGATTCTGCCAGTTTGAAGATATTTTTGCTAAACTTGATCGACACATCATATCTTTGCCTCCTGAACAATGCCGTTCCTTTTCTGAAATGGTCTATTTCCCAGGTGCATTCACTGTAAAAGAGGTCAAAGAAATGATGAACTATAAAAGTGACTTGGACGCCAAATTTCAGGTCCTCTACCCATTACTTGGTTATGGTTTTCTGAAATCGACAGATGAAAATAAAAACCAGTTCCAAGTACCAACTCTCTTTCAAGATTATGCAAACCAACAGCTTGCACATCTCCGCCATGAAGATACTACTAAACTGAAATTCAGTACCATTATCGGTAAGACATTAACTGAAGCAGAGCATCTATGGGAAAATGGATTGATTTATGAAGCACTGGGTGTTATGACAAACAATTGGGCCAATGTACATAAATTACTACAACAAGCAATTCACACGCCTTCTGATGGGAACAGTTTCCAAATTTATTACAAGGTAAGTAAAAAAAATTTTAAAAAAAAATGCCTACTGAATTGTAAAGTAGTAATCTGTTTCCACACCTCTTGGTCTATCATATTTTTTTCTCAGCCTGTCCACACATTTTGTTACTTGTCCATGTCTGTGTAGATCTGCCCATTTCCTCAGTCTGATTTTCTACCTCTTGGTCTTCCCATGCCAGTCTCAGTTTGCCCACACTCATCTCAACCTGCCTATATCAAATTTTAGGTTAAGAATTGAAAAACTCAGTAGCTTAACTATCAAATTCCACTTTTAAACACTAACATTCTTATAGTAATTTTTATTTACAGATTTGTGACTGAATTTCACCTTGCACTAAGACCAAAACTTAGTAAGGGTGGGCTATAACAAATTTTTCTGTGACAGTTGTGGAGCAGGAACTAAAACGGACATTCTCAGCATTCTTTTGAAGTTAATATTTTTCATGTGTTTTCTTGCAGAATATAGATGAATTTTAAATTATTAACTTTTAGTAAATAACTTTCTTTTTTTCTTTCTTTTTTTTCTTTCTTAAATCAAAACCTAATGACAAATAAGCTCAGCAGAAAATAATCTTCCAAATGACATAATGATTAAAATGTTCTTTGTCTTTTTCATATTATTAGTTAATCAATTCAGAATAATATCTTTTGTCCTTTTTTTTTTTCTTTTATTCTTGTTGTTTTGTATTTTGTGTGTGTTTCAGCCATTCTCCAGCCTTCTTCAAGTGTCTGGAATGTCAATGAATCTTTTTATTGAAGAACATATATATCTCTCTTTCATACATGTCACATCTGGTGCTTGTATCTCTGTATTCTGCAGATTGTCATCTGACCTTGATAGTGAAGCTGCACTATTAGTTGAAAAATTAATAAGTGACACTGTTTCATCCAATAAAAATTCAAGATAATATTGCTACTAATACCATTAGTGTATATTAAAAATTAAAAAAGAAAATTTTTTAAATGGTCATGGAAAATGAATGGCTATATGGTTAGATTTGAATGTTGCAACTGGTTGATCTCTGTGGCCTAATTGGTAAAGCAGATGTCATGTTAAGGCAGCAAAAGCAATATATTACATTTGAAGTAAAAAATTACTTAATCATACAATCAACACAGTATAATTGTAGATAAAAACTGTATAACATGTTTTGTTTTATTGTATGTTGGTATATGTTTCAGAACTTCTATTCCCTTCATCAGCCAAATATTTACACTATTATTTACAATAATTCAAAATTCATAGAGAAGATAATTCAGTAATTCATAATTCAGTAATGTTTAACGTTCATGCCTGCAAAAAATAATGTGTCAAAAGGACAGTTATTCCCTTGACACCACTATTACTGTGGACTCTTTTGACTCCCTTGGCAATGTTTATTTACAAGATTATAAAAATATATGAACCAAGTACAATGCAATGTTTATTTACTTTTTATAAAGATTTATTGTTTACCATTTTATAAAGAAACAAATTTGAAAAAGAAAACTATGAAAAATTATAAAATTATCAAAATATGTGAACCAACTACAATGCAATATTATCATTTCATAAAAAACTACGAAAACAAGTTTTTTTATTCAAACTAATAAATAGTGTATAACATCTTTGTTGTCAATTCTCAAGAATAAAGAAAATGCATAAATCCACTTTCATGTGCTTGGGTTTTATTAACATTCTAATCATCACTTTTTAAAACAAAAAAATTTGCTGAGGGAGTCTAAAGTGTATACAGTAATAACCATTTTTTTGACACGCTTTTTTTTTTTCTTTTTTTTTTTTTTTTTTTTTTTTTTTTTTCTTTTGTGGGTATTAAGGTTAAACATTGCCCAAAATTCTTAGAAAATTAGATAATTCAGTAATTTGAAATTCCTTGAAAAGGAAAGAAAAAAGTGGTGGGGTGCAACATGTACTTGTAATTCTACAAAACTAACAGAGGACCTGTGAAAATGACACAGATTCACTAATAAATTCTTTTGCTGCTTCACTTTGTACTTTTGTATAAAAAAAAAATACTGAAATGTCATCTAGCAAATTGTTAAATCATGAAAGAGGACTTGACCCCCTCATAATTAACAACTGCCTTTATCCAAGAAAACCCCCTGTTCTCTATAATTTTAATTCCAAAACATCACTTGCAGTTTAAGGACAAATTACTCTTCAACTGGTCATTACATCATGAAAAATGATTAAACCCCTCACATGATTCCCCCTCCCTGTGTTTTTTTTTTTTTGTGTGTGTGTGTGTGTGTGTGTGTGTGCCATGTCCTTTCAGGACGTAGGTGATCATGGCTCTCCACCTCCACTCTTCAAATTTACATATGATACATTCTATAGAATTGGTATTTATCTTTGAAAACAAAGAACCAATTTTTTGACTTGTGAAAAAGAAAAATACCATTCTGACAAAAAATTTTTAATCAAATCATTAAGTTTAAATTGAACACTTTTTTTTTTTTTTTTTTTTTTTAAAAAGCTCCCAAATATAGGAGATACAGTGGAGTAATGGATAGCAATTTGGATTGGGGAATCGGAGTGCTGAGTTTTAATTCAAGTCAAGTTCATTACATTGACTTATGCACAAATACCCTTTGGAAAAGCATGAATCCATCTCTTCTCTTCTCCCAGCTATAGATAAATAGCAGGACAAACTGGATCCTATAGCTTTGGTTGGCAACTAATCTCAGAGAAGGAAAACTGAAACCAGAAACCAATCTGGAGAGAGTTGGACTTTGTCAGGCTAACTTGTCGAGGAAATGCCGCTGCAGTACATATGGTGCCCCTACAATATTAATCTTGTGACCCTGAAATCTAGAAGGAAGGTACATTGGAATAATGGATAGCAGTTCAGACTGAGGAATCAAGGAGCCAAGTTCAAATTCCAATCAAGTTCATTATATTCACTTACATGCTAATACCCTTGCAAAAAGCATGAATCCATCTCTCCTCCTCCCAGCTATAGATAATAGCAGGACAGACTGGGTTCTATAGCCTTGGATTGCAACTCGTCTAGGAGAAGGAAAAACTCTGAATTCAAACCAGCCTGGAGAGGGTTGGTCTTTGTCAGGCTATCTTGCCCAGGAAACATGACTGCCACTGTAGTTGCAGTACGTGTGTTGCCCCTATGATCCGAATGGGTTATGGATCTCATGATTGTGAAATATAGAAGTTTTGTTTTGATTAAGAGGTAAATACAAGTAGGAAGGATCAGATTTTCTTTTTTGACAGCACAAAGAAGACAAATACTTTTCCAAGGTAAAACTTGATTTTTATTGGCAATGATTAATACAGTTCTCTGTAGCCTAACTAGTAAGGCAGTTGTCATGTTAAGATGTCAAAAGACATATGAATTTTTATGTCTCACTGTAAAACCAATTTGATGAATGTCTGTTTTTTTATCTTTATAGGTTGTTATTGATGCAAACAACATTATTTCACTTTGTTACCCAAATGAAGCTAAACTTTTCTGCAAAGCCATTTCTGACAGTGCCCAAATATTTGGTTCAAAAGATCAACAGGCATTATCAATGGCATCTTATGGACACACTCTTGGTGAGACTTATTTCAGCCTAATAAAATGAATATATACCAGATGTATGAGAATTCAGCTTACTTATGTCACTCACTTATCAGAACTTCATTTTTTACTTGAGTTAAATCTTAAAAACCAAAACCAAATCCATTATTATCAAAACATGAATGTATGTCTCTTATGTTCAAGGAGTGTGTATGCCTGTCTGTGTTTCTTTGTAAATATGTGTTGGTTCCAATCCCCACAGGGAATGACTGCAAAACACTTTCAAATTTATACATAGAAGCACACAAATGCATGCTGGGATTTCTTCCTAGGCAATAAGATAGTCCGGTTCTTGGTTTCATTTGACACAGTCCTGGTCCATCTTGTCTTGAAGTCAGAACATTATGTTCGCTTTATTTGCCTTGCATATATTGTTTGCTTGCTGTCAATTCAGTTTTGTTGGGCAGCTCTACTATTTATTTACATTGAATGACCATGGTTAACATGGCCACTCAATCCACAATATGTAATGTGTACATTTATGTACATGTGTATGTCTATTAGCATATTATGAACTTTTTTTAGTTATGTGTTTTCTGCATGTCTAACTGCAGTACAACACCCTTTTTATATTTTTATATATATATATATATATATATAATGAATTACATAAAAATGAAACTATTAACCAATTCAGATGGACATCTGAATGGGGTAATAGTTTCATTTTTATGTAATTCATTAATATGCTCTATAATGAATATATTGAGGTTTTTGTGGATCAGTTTTAATATTTTATATTATTAGGATCTACTTGGATTACTTACCACAGATTTTTTTACCTATATATATATATATAATATATATATATATATATATATATATATTTATTATAAATTAACTGATTTAAAATATGGTTTCTTCGCTACACATTAATAACCATGTTTCAAAAACTGAAACCACCCCTGTCAGAATGATTGGATTTCTCTGTATCCTTGGAAACAGGAAATTATGAATTTATATGTGCGTTTAAAACTCAGTAAATTTAAAAATAAGTTATTCCAAAATTCTGTTGAAGATGAAACGGAATTAATGCTTTTAATTTAATTATATAATTAAATTTGACGTTTTTAGCTTCAATTTTTGAAACATAGTTATTACTGTGTAGCAAAGAAACCATATTTTAAATCAGTTAATTTATAATATTTATGCTCTGTAAATTTACATTGAGCACTGTTTTGTAAAAATAAAAATAAAAAATATCAATAAGAACACTGGATTATATATCTTACTGTTCTTTCTTTTTATTTATTTATTTATATATATATATATGAAATAATGAGATATATTTTTATATATCAAGAACAATATTGAAGAAGTTGTATAACAGAGTAGAAAATGTTTACTTGTGATGCATTTTATCTTTCAGGACTTCATCAAACTAAATTTGTTATATTGATAGGCTTACACATGCTTACAGCAGAGGGCTACTGGGAATTTTAGATTTTTTTTTTTTTTATATATATCAGCCAAATTCATTTAGTGTCTTCTTCTTTCTATCACTTTTGTAAGTAGGTATTCCACACTATGATATTAGATCTGCCAGGAATGGTGAAATGTTGTAAGAGCCAGGGTGCAAATTTACTGTAGATGACTTTGCGAGTAAGGCATTCTCTAGGCATTTATGCCATAGTGAATTATTTTCTCCTTTGATCAGAGTAGCACTTTTTATGTCAAAGTTGTGGTCAGTCTTGTTATGATGGGCAACCAATGCATCTGATGTATTATTTTGTGAAATGTCCCTTTTGTGTTCATATAATCTTTTATTTAGATTCCTTGAGTTTTCTCCTAAGTATTTTTTGTGACTATTATTACGGGTGATGGAGTAAACTCCTCTTTCAGGTTTTAGCTTATTGTTATGTTTAGTATTGACTAAGCCTTTTATTGTTTTGTATGTAGCAGTAACAACTCTTATGTTGAGTTTAGATAGATTCTATTCGATTGTAGATGTGATAGAATTAGCAGGCAGGAAAATATATTTTTTTGATTCATTGAGTTTCAGGAGGGGACTTTTTTTTTTTGTTTTGGAATAATTTATATGCTTTTTGTTTTGAAGTGAATATAAAATAATTAGGGTACTGGAAATAGCAACAAAATAAAACCTGGCATAATCATCAAATTCTACCTAAGTGCGGTAAGAATATGCAGCTCTGAGTATTTACACAAGGAAGAGAAATACATTGAAAACATTTTCAAATTTCTCTGCATCTTTTCAAATATTCTTCAACTTTTCTTTCTGTTTATATTTGTAACATCAGCTTCTTCCGCTATTTATTTGGTGGTCAATCCTTTGTTTATTACTTGTTTAATTTTTCTCTTTTTTTTTTTTTTTTTTTTTTTTGGTGACATTCTTAAAACCATTTCTTTTTCATCTTATTTTTCAACTGTATTCAAATTTTATTTTGGTTGTTATCTACTCACTGCTAATCTTTTTTGGAAATTTCCAATATTATGTTCCCACCAATAAATAATTTTATAATATCTTGTTTCTCTTTTGACATGATAGCTTTCCTGCAATGGCAATTTTTATATATCTGAAATGGAAACAAAACAAAAAAAACGTCACTAGCTAATATTATTCTTGTTGTCCGACAATTGCATTGCAAGAAACTCTGAATAGAAATTTGGACCTAGTCTCTTTAGTGCAGTGTTATTGATTAGTGTTACCAATCTATCCTGGTCTGTTCACTATAGGTGTTCTGCTGCCAAGAGTACACATCAATGTCATATGTGTGCATAATATTGAAGACAGCCAGATAAATGCCCTAAGACAATTAAAACTCTTAAGACAAAGTCCTGTTCATTAACAGGTTTATTAAAAACCAAAAGAGTAAAAACTAGAAAAAGAAATAAATACACATATAAGACTAGTTTAGTTTGAATAACACACAAACAAAAGGATAACAAAAAAATATGGCAAAAGCAGCCAGAGGCTTGATAGGGCAACCAATGCATTTGATGCATTATTTTGTAAAATGTCCCTTTTGTGTTCATATAATCTTTTATTTAGATTCCTTGAATCGTAAAGTCATTTGTTTAAACGGTTAATGGATGGAGGAAATATTTTGTTTACATATCTATAAAGTTTCCTAGAGAAATACATTTCATTGTTGCAGTGAGTTCACAGAAAGCAAATTGCAGGAAAATTACATTTGGGAACAGTGTGTGAACAGATAACTCATATTGAAAGGATACTACACAGAGTGATACAAACTTGTAAAATATGGCTACATGAAACAAATGTTCAAACAACATGATAATAAAATCAAGCAATGTAGAGAGAAAAGGTATTAAAAGTTATAAACCAGTGATGGTAAGATTGCAGGTAAGATTAGGATGATGATAAATTAATTATGGTAAGATAAAGAGCAAATAGGAAATGTTTATCTAATATGTTTCACTTTTATTAAAGCTTCATCAAAGAATGAGATATGAAGATATTTTCTTCATATCTTATTTATTTGATAAATCTTTATTAAAAGTGAAGCATATTAAATTGATAAACATTTCCTATTTTTTCTTTCTCTTATGATTATGCCGGAATTCAATCCATATCTGATCTATATTTGATCCCAAATGTATCATATACGTGTGTACTCCCCGACAGCCAGATAAATGCCCTAAGGCAATTAAAACTCTTAAGACAGTCATGTTCATCAACAGTTTTATTAAGAACCAAAAGTGTAAAACTAGAAAAAGAAATAAATACATATAAATAAGACTGAAAATACAAACAAGGAAGAGTAATGAGAAATAGTAAAACTTGTATCAAAAAATTATTATTATCTCCCCAACCCCCAAAAAATCCACAGGCCAAAATATGATTTGGTTTTAAATAATCTCAAAGAGGTTGATAAGTCATAAAAAATCAATCAATTCTTTTCTGGCTTCTTGCTTTCCTATCAACTGTGATCTTCTAAAAATTCAGTCATCGTCATCTGTCTCTTTGAATTCTGTCCTTTTATTGTCTCCTCTCCTCAGTAATGTTTCCACAGTTTCTTTCACTCTCAGTAACCCATTGTATCTTAGTGGCTTTATCACCTTACTGAAGGTATCCACCTTCAGTAAGGTGATAAAGCCACTAAGATACAATGGTGCAGGTGGTGTAATTGATAGTCTCAGAATGAGAAATTAGAGAGTTGATTCAAATTCCAGTCAGGCTTCACTCACAGGCAAATAGACTTTAGAATGGTATGAATCTATCTCCTTCCCCAGCTATGGATTAACAGATCACAGCATCTATCAGAGAGATAAAAATTTAAATTATTGCATTCTTCCAAAATTTTAACACATCAGCAGATAACTATTAATGTCAACAACTGAGCACAAATAGTTATTAATTACAAAAAATTAGTAATTAATATATAATATTATCTATAACTACATGTACAAGAATGTTGTTTTTGATAAAAGTTAAAAAATAACCATAAATATGTAAAAAATGCATATATTGTTGAAAATTCCTATTTCCACAATATAGATATTTGTGCTATGTTATAATGCTTATTACCTAAACAATAATAATACTGAATAAATTTTTTTTAAACAATAAAATATATTTAATCACATCTCCCTAATAGCTATCTATAGCCTAATCGCAATCTGTAAATAGTAGAACATGTATCTGGAAAAATCATTGTTATTCTCAAAAAGTTATTAATATAATATTTATTTGCAAAAAAAAACAAAAATTATTCTTGCAACTCAAAAATGTTTTTTGCTTTAAATAACCCACAAAAGGGTTGATGAATCATAAAAAAAAAACTCAATCAGTAATTGCCTTGCTTGGAGTGAAATGATTTAAAAAAAAATGTTTAAAATATTAAACAGTAAAATAGAATAACCAATATAAAAAGCAATTTTATTGGTAATTCAGTTTTATTGTTTAATAAACTCAGTAATTCAGTTTTTATTGTTTAATTAAACTTAGCAATGATTCTCTTTGATAAGAATTGCTGGAAAAGCTGCTGAAGATAATTTATAGTTCATTCTTTTTTACTTCTTTTTCCTCAATGGTAATTTTCAACATGCCCCCACCTTCTGGCATTATTATTCTCCTCTTAAAAAATGTGCCTGTCTGCTTTTAACGATTTTCAATTTTACTATAGTGGAATCTTCTGAAAAGGAAGCCCTACAACTTTACAAAATGGCTGAAGAAAATCTTGCAAAATCTCACCACAAATATCAGTATATTATCCTGCTCTACAACATGAGTAAAGCCTATTATCGGTGTGGAAAACTCCAGAAAGGGATCAGGTAAATAAATACTTCCTGCAAAATAATCCTTGCTTTTTCTTTATTCTTTTCATTATTATTATTATTATTGTTATTATTAGTATAACAGAAAACTTTCCTCAGTTTAATTATTTAATTTCAAATTTTTAATAAATCTTAAGCCTTTCATTTTTAAATAGATGCACAAAATATATTGTATATTCAAAATTAAATTATAAAAGTTAATAAAAAAATTTTTAACTGATCATGACATCTGTCAGAGAGATGAAATTTATATTTTTATTATTCCAAAATTTTAACACCTCAGCAGATAACTATTAATGCCAACAACTGAGCACAAAGTTATTAATTAAAAAAAATTAGTAATTAATGTATAATATTATCCATAACTACATGTAAAATAATGTTGTTTTTGATAAAAGTTAAAAAAATAACCTAAATAAATGAAAAATATGTATATTGTTGAAAATACCTTTTTTCCACACTATAGCTATTTGTACTATATGCTTATTACCTCAACAATAGTAATAGTGAATAATTAAAGTTTATTAATCACATCTCTCTAATAGTTGTGATCTGTAAATTAAGGAAATTTTTATAAAATATGAATAATGATAACAAAGATGATGTGAAATCAGAAATCTCTGACTCTGGAATTAAATTTTGTTAAATTATCATTTGACACTCGGAGTCAAAAGATAAAGAATAAAAACCAAAAGGAATAATAAGAGAGTATGAGGAGGACAAGTAAATTATGAAAAGAAGAAATATTCATGATATCCTACACATGTGCACATACACACACACACATACAGGCATACACACACACACATATATATGTATGTGCGCACAGACACACAAAGAAAAATCAACCTACCACCAATAAAAAAGTGCATAACTTTTTTTTTTTGACTTAATATAAGAATAACAAAAACAAAAAAATTGACAGACATTTGCCAATATCTCCTAACGAGTGGACCATACAATTACATAAAGGTTTGTCTATGTAACTCCAGAAGAGAGGAGTTGAATATAACATCAATCACACAAGTGACAAATTTTATATTTGTATTAAACATAAAATATGAATATATAAAAATGTTTTGTTTTTTTTGTATGGTCTATTTTATTTGTGGGTATGTAACTGTATCGCATACAGTTCGCATACATGTATCGCATACATCTTAATAAATAATATTGTCCCAATAAAGGACAATATTATTTATTAGGACAATATTATTTAAAATGTTTTGACTTGAAGAATAAATCAATTTCCAGTAACCTGTGACATAAAAAGTTTTTGTTTATTTATCTATCATTTTATTCCTGTTTAGTCAAGTGTGTAGCAATTTTGAAGATTCTACTTCATAGACTTCACTGGTGGTCATAAAAATGTAACACACTTCAAACACCACTAAAATCATTTAAGGCCCACTTTATGCTGTAGGTTTTCTAAGCCAGTTATATCAATTGTGTAATAGCTGCATGCAGACCAAAGTTTAAGGATTGAGTTGATCAAAATAAATATTTATTTCCTAAACATTTTAATGACAAACAACAATGAGTAATAACAAAGTTAAGAAAAACATTTTTGTTTCAGAATGATTAAAGTTATTTTTGCTGACAGTTCCAAGACAATGGGAAAAAAATCAGTCTGTAGCCTTGATCTATAAAGTTTGAGTAAAAAGCAGTAAAAACATGAATATAGGATTTTTTAAGAAAACTACTTTCATGTGGAAATGGCAGACAGCTGCTGCTGCTGAGTCTGCATATTGAAATAAGCAACAAATAACAATATATTGGTGTGTGGAATATAACAAAAAAACAAAAGTGACTTCTTCTTGGCCAACATAAAGTGAGATTTCTATCTATGAAAAATATAGTGTAAAGGAAATAAGAGTCAAGTAGTGTCATTCACTCATCAAATATGTTTGTCCTTAGTAGCTTTGGCAACAAGTGCTAAATGCATTGCTACACAGTTTGCTTGAAAAATATCCAGCTATTTTGAATATTTTACGAACAGCTGTGTGGTGTTGATGCAAGGGGACTTTACTGCGCATGCATTCTCTTATCAGTTTACTCAGTCACTATTGAGCAAGCTTGTGTACTTCATAGTCATTGCAGTGACACTGACGAGATGAGAAGATTCATTGCATCTCATGTAGGGTTTTTTTGGGAGGGGAAAAACCTTGCATCATCCTAGTCTGTCTAGAATTCAGAATGGTTTTCTTGCAACTTTGGGTTTTTCCCCAAATCTAAAATCACTAATGAGAGATTCCATACCATGACATACATACATATATATATATATATATATATATATATATATATATATATATATATATATATATAGTTAAGTAATGAAAATCTTGGTAATCCATATGGATAATCCCATGGAGGATGAAATCCTGAAAGCTCAATGTTAAGTCAGAGCAAATAATTTAATTTAAAGAAAAACAGACCACTTTAAGGCTCCATTTGTAATAATTTATTTCACCAGAGAATTTTATTTTTCTCTGGATCTTAGGACTTCGCTTTCAAAAAAAGACAATAAGAAATTTGTAGTTTTAGTCAACGTATTTTGTCCAATGTGGACTTTTTTAGGGCTAAAAACAAAATGAATTTATTGAAATAAAGTATCTATAAACAACAAACAAAATGTCATTAGCAACTAGAAGAATTTAGTAAAACTATTGAAAATATGGTCAACTGAAAAATGACGTCAATTACTTTGTTTGAAGAGAATATTTTCACATGTTGCAATATTGTTTGTATTATTGCATTGATGGATTCAATTATTTTTTTTATTTTTTGATATATTTCTTGTGTATGTTGGCCTGGGAGAGTAGTGATATAATATATATAAAAATTACAAATAAATGAAATTCAAAAATACCCCATCTGAATCACCATTTCATTCTGCAAGAGCTTGTCAACACTAAAAAGTTAGATAAAATAAATATGAAGGCTAACTTTTTTTTTTAAATTAAATAAAAGACAGGAAGCAAAAAAAGGGGAGGAAAAGAAAGGAAAAGACAACAAATAAAGGAAAGAGAAAAAAGAAAGAAAGAAAACAGAACAAAGTAGAGTTGGGTAGAGAAGGAAAACAAGGAATAAAGATTCGTCTAGAATCAAGACAAAAGTTTAAAGATGGTTGGAAATTTAACATTAGAAAAATTAACCTTAGCCTATATTTCAAATGTTAACAATTGTTCAAATAGGGAAAATTACATAAGGAATTACAATCTTTAAAATAAAGAGAAGATTTTAAGATTGTGTAAAAATGTTGTAAAATGTTAATATAAACTAAGCCAAATAAATAATTATTAGTATATAGGAAAAATTGAACCAGAAGATTAATTTGAATTAAATAATAGATTAAATGGATAAAAAATCAAAGCTAGTTCAATATAAGTGAAATAGAATTAAATCATATAAATTAATTATAGATTAAATTGAATGAAGCCCCTTGAATGGGGAAATATCAATTACAATTAACCCCATACATGAATATAATTAGACAAAAAACAGCTAGCAATTAACAAAGTAATTAAACATAACTATGATAAATGTAAAAATAAGATATATAGTTTTAATGTGCTATATTTATGGGATAAAGTGCTCAATATCAGAGATAGAGTATGTGTACATATAAAAGTAAACATTGAAGTTAACACTCAGAGGCGACAGACTTTCATATTAGACATCAGGCCAATCATCACACCACACACACACACACACACACACACATATATATATATATATATATATATATATATATATATATATATATATATATATTTTTTTTATAGATATAACTTAAGTAATTATTTTTAATTACATTTACTGGCATGACTGTTAGAAATTTCATAGAAAATATGCACTCTCCAACAGGTATTGAACCTGTAACCCTTATGGGATCCGTCATTTGGTCTGACATGCTGTTAGCCATCCAGCTACAGAGAAACGTCTGGTTAGCAAAGTCTGAATTACTGTTTATAAACACACCTTCAATGATTTTTCTCAATCGATCATTTCTGTTATATATTTCTTAATATATATAATGTAATAATGTTCTAAAATGCCTATAAAAGAACAGTTTTCATGCTCAACCATGACATTCCAACATAAAAAATTCCATAATGGATAAATATTCACATTCTAATGAACACTAAAGCATAACTGTCAGCCGTAGCATTTAAACGCAAAAGAAAAATTCAATAATTGATCGCTACATATAGTTTTGCCTTACCAATTGCACCTCTGATGATTATCCCGGAAATAAATGGGATTCTCACTGTTACAATGCATTTTTTGCCTTATTTAATTGTTTTATATGGAAAAATATTTGTGAATATGAAAGGATTATGATGAAAATAAGCAGATATAATGTTTATAATTCATTCAATCAGACATGCCTAAAGGAGAATTTGCCACCTAAATACACAAATTTATATTTTAATATATAAACTTTGCTCTGTGTGTGTGTGATAATATATATATATATATATATATATATATACTTTGCTGTTAAATTTTAAATTTGTAATTCTGATACGAACAGTCTGTACACGGAGGTTGAATAAGACTAACATACTCCTTGTTGGTTGAAATAGATTTATACCCCCCCATATGAGTTAATTTTGGATTTTGTTGTATATTATATATATATATGTGTGTGTGTGTGTGTGTGTGTGTGTGAGCATGTAAATTTCCGTTTTTTTTTGTTTTTTTTTACTTTTTCCTGATAAGAAAAATTTAAAACTCTTGTAGACTTATCTACATTTCCAGATTCTCTAAACAATGTTTTATGGTTAAAGTTGTTTTGTTCTTGAAAATGGCTTGTCATTTATGTATGACTATAAAATTTATCTTTCTTGTTAGAGTTGCTTATCATCTAGTTACATGTCAACATATATACTTAAATGACCTGAAGTAAGAATAAAGAAATAACTGTTAGAAAAACTGGTATTCACAACTCACAAATAAAGAACATGTCTTACATGGTTCAGCTACACACTGACACAACTCAAGCCTACAGACATTAATCCTGCATCTTCCTTATGAATATTTGTACCATATTGTTTCTTTTTTTTTATGGTAGTAGCAGCAGCCTTAAGTTTTTGTTTTTGTTTTTCAATCATTTTACACCAAGTATTGTAACAAAGCTATTAAGACACAAGGGTAAAAAGAAAGCCATAAAGATGAGAGAACAATAAAAGAATTAAGAGGACACAAAATAATGATTATCATTTCATTAAAATTTTTAATGATCAAGTCTAACTGGAAAACAAGAGTCCAGAAGAGTTCCACAAGCGAGAAGTGTGGGAGAAGAAACTCTTAACATAGAACTTAGTTACATCCAACCACCTCAACTGTAAAATTATGAAACCTATCTGCAAATCTAGAATAGCACTAAAATAAGTCAACGTACCAAAGAGGAAAGCTCATCAAAACAATTACCATGAAAATATTTATAGAAAAGGCAGAGGGGTGGAAACTACGTTTTCACAGTGGGGAAAGGGACTGAAGACAAAATGTCAGGTCAGAATTGAAGTCATGATTGATAACATTGCAGATTCTTCTGTGGATTTTAAAAGGTACAGGGAAGATACATTCTAGTATCTTAAATTCTGATATATAAAAAAACTAAATTTTGACTAGTTTGTCATATAATGAAAAGGACATTGTATTCATCATCAATGGAGAAAAATAAATATTGGGTCAGGTGGGAGTCCCTTTCGTTAATGTTTTCATACCTTTTTTATTTTTATTTTTATGCCCAGGTGTGCAGAAGAGGCCCTAAGTATTCAAGTGACTGACCGAGATGCTGCTGAGGTTCAACATGTGAAAACTTATGCAGCTTCAAATCTTGCCTACAATTTAATATTCGCAAGTAATTCAACTGATTTTATTATCAAAACATGAACATTTGTCAATTTATATTAAGTTTAAGGACTGTCTGTGTGTGTGTGTGCGTTTGTTTGTAAATATTGTATTGCGTACATATGTCTGAATATGCAGGGATTGACTATGTACTTTACTAGATGGGAGTGGTTGAATCAAGTAGCTGGCCATTATTTATATATATATTATATATATATATATATATATATATATATATATATATATATATATAAAAAAAATATGACAAACTGGAAACAAAACCCAGTCTGATGAAATATTCTCATGGATGAAAAAAAAAAAAAAACTTCAAGTTTGTCATATTTTTTCTAAATACTGTTTGTTGATATATAAAATAATACAAAATTTATATATATATATATATATATTAAATAAATTAAGAAAGAGACAACCTTAAGGTTCCATGACTATAATTTATTTCCCCCAGAAAATATATTTTATATATATCAGGTTACCTGATGAACCAGGAATATATATATATATATAAATATATATATATATATATATATAGGAAAAGAACATGTTAGGTAAATAATCCAAAGTTCTTTAGTATTTTTGTTTTTATTTTTTAAAAACAGTGCTCAATACAAAAGTAGAGCCTAAATTATAATTATTTTTTTAAAAAAATGATTCTTTCACTACATAGGAGTTCTCATGTTTCAAAAACAAGAGCCAAAAACCTCAATATAATTACAAAAATTAAATTGAATTAAAGTATTAAGCTCTGTTTCATCCTCAAGCAAAATTTTTGGAATAACTAATCTTGAAATTTACACATCTTTGTAAGCAAATTTATTCGTAAAATTAATTACTATGGAAACAGCTGAAGCAATTATTTCAATAAGGGGCATAAGGGTTAACATATTGTATCAACATATCAGTTACTTTTGGAAAGAGGTCAAGTCAATGTAGGGTTGGGGGTGTCTAAATTAAAGCAAATGATGACATTCATTTTATACACATATCATCTAGTCTGTTTCAACGACAGAGACTTACTGGCCTTATGCATTATTGCTACATTGTCTAAAGATTTTTTTGTTTTTTTCTAAAATTGTTGTTTGTATATAAATGCGTCATATTGAACTACAATTTGTTTTTTTGACAACTTCATAAAGAGTTTTTTTTTATCTATGATTGGGTTAAGCTTTTAAACCTTTTTATTAGACTATGAAATTTTAATTTTTTTTTTATGCTAATTATTTAATTGCGAAAATTTGTTGATGTCAGTTTTTTGCCAACATCAACAAATTTTTGGTGGTGGGCTTCCTAGACTGATATCTCACTGCCAGTCTGGTGGGTTTCACCAAGGGAAGCAATGGCCATATGTTTGTGACCAAGGTGAGGCTTCAATTTGGAAGACATCAATTGCAGTTTGACATTAGAGAGATCGGCTCCATTAGGCCTACTTGCTCAAGACACTAGGCATGAACACATATTTCCCTGATTTTAAACCTAGACAGGTGGAGAGTACTGATCAGGTACTCAGCTGCATAATGACTGGTCATGGGACTAATGATATTGATCATTTATCTCATCTGTACGCATACACAATTTATTTAATACATCCAAGTAGAGTGCATATGGAAATATGCTTTCTAAGTATCATTCTCGCCATGTTAAAATGCATTATAAATAGAATGACAAATGATTGCATATTTAATCAATTCTATATTTACATCAGAATTTTGTCAGATGCATTTATTACTTTTCACATTAGCACGAAACTATAATGACAGAAAATTTTAATTATTTCATTGTTCATGTTAACTTACTCTGTTTTTCCATCACATTCTTTAAAACCCGAATATTGATAAACTCTGTGTAATCAAATAATGTGAGATGATTCATTTTTCATTGCTGCATTGGCCACACTGCCAATTCACATCTCCAATTCTGTGATTTACTTTTTAGTGTTAGTTCAGTTAATGAAATACACGGAACTATTTTCAGCACTTAGGTCACAAAAGTGGGTCAGCCATTCTTGGAATGATGGACTGATGATAAAACGGACATTTGAAAATGACATCAATTTAACTGGCTGAGGCACAAGACTACAGTCAAAAAATAAACTTGGTCAGTCACATCCAATAAGAAAACTGTTGCATTTTAATGCTTTTTATTTTCTTTTATATACACTACAGTTCAAAAGATTTGAAGAAACTCCCTGATAATTTTTTAAACGTAGTGGTTTTGTACTTTAAATAACCGAAAATTACTGTCTAGTTTAAAAAAACAAATCATGATTTTTTATTAAATTTTATTATGACAAAAAGAAAAAAAAAAGCATTTTATGATGAAATTTTTCTCTCATCAAAATAGCCTCCTTTAGCATTGATTACTGTAGCACAAATTTTTGGCATTTTTTGCAAAAGTTTATCAAAGTATAAGTTTGATAATTGATTCCATTCATTTTTAAATGACTAAGAGCTCTTTTTCATTTTTTTTTTTCACTATCCTCTCAAGTTTAAAGCCATCCCATGCTAATTCTCGGGGTGGCTTCAAATTTATTAACTGTAGTGTAAATTAAAAATATTTTTAAATAAAGCTACAAAATCAATATTATAATGGACCTGATCCTCTGTCTATCACACACTTTACATGCATGTATCTAATGTATATGCATGTATTTTTTTTTTATATTTTATGACTTGTCAACCTTTTTAAGGTTAATTATTTAAAGCTGAAACATAATTTTGGATTGTAAATTTTTTTTGCAATGGTAATAAATTTCTGATACAAGTTCTACAATTTAACGCATGAGCCTTTTTGTAATTTGTCAGCCACGGTGGTGACGCCACTCATGTCTGAGTTTGGTGTATTCGATACCTCCACGATGCTTGAACCTGACAAGTCGGGAATGGAATAGTCTCAGGCATTCATCACATGGTAGGGTGGGTGATGGTCTTGGCTGGAGTTGCCAAGCCTTATGTCACCTTCTTTTTAAGTAAAAAGAAGGTGACATAAGGCTACACCTCTCCATTCTTTTTCTTTGCCTCAAAAGTGGAACAACCAAAATGAATTGCTCTTTACCAGAATGGACAGTCAAGGGCTTCAGTTTCCCAGGTATTAGGGCTGATTCTATCTGGATGAAGGGAAGACTTCAGTTGGTCTTTGAATCTGCCTTTTGGAGGTTCACAGTATCATTTGCCATTGATGAGCTAGTACTAAAGAATGGTCTGCAGGAAGGAGCCATTTGGACTATATGGCTCAACCAGAGAAGGTGATACTTGAGGGTGGCAGCTTCAATGTTCAGGATTTCTGGTGTATCAATCCTGCCATTTGATGTTGAGGATCTGCCCAAGTTTGGCTTGTTAGATTTGGTTTGGTTTGTTTTGTTTTATGGCATATCCACCTCAATGAGTTATTTAATTCCGACAAGATTTTTATTGCTGCTAATATTTTCCCAAAGAACAGTCATGGCAATATATAATTTACCGATATTAAAAGAAAAGATGTGAATAGTCATAACTGCCTACACCCTGAAAATTTTGGGTTTCCCTATTTTACTACTGCTTCGTCAGTCCCACTTCATAGATGTTGTCAATTTCCATCGTCGTTGATACCACTTGTGTCCAAGTTTGGTTCATCCAGTACCCCCACGATGCTTGAACTCTACATGGCTCAGGAAACCAGTCTCAAGCATTGATTGCATGGTGACTGGTAAAAGAGAAATGGCACAGTCAATGTATATGCAATGAATGGCAAACAGTATTGCATTTCCATTAACACAGTGATTCTCAACTGTCGTGCCATGGCAAACTAGTGTGCCGTGTGATCCTCTTAGGTGTGACACAAAATATTGTCACAGCATACATATATATGTGTGCATGGAAGTAGCATTAGTATCTCAATAAATGAATAAGTATTAAATTTCTTTTTTAATTTTTTTTTAATATTCGCTTTTTAAAAAGTATTTTTATTTTTTTAATTTAACTTTTAAAATCTTCCTTTATTTGAATAAATGAATAATAACCCTTTTTTTCATATAATTGTATTTAATTTTCTTTGTTTAATTCAAAATTTATGGTTTTATTTCATAACATTTAAATGTATACTCTTTAAAAATATAGATGTGCAGTTGCTTAAAAAGGTTGAGAAACACTGCATTAGCGGATACTTTTTATTTAAATTCACGTATCTATTACAGCTGAATATGAACAAGCAAAGAAAGTTCTCCTCCAGACCTTACGAGAGGTAGGCGAGTCAGGACATCCATCTGTTACAACCTTATTAAACCTTCTTGGTCTAAATGAAGAGAGATGTAAGTCTATTACCTTCACATTCTTGATTCATTTTTCCTAAATGTCTACTTTTCTCATTTTATTATAAACTAGCTTAAAAGCTGCCTTATTGGGTGGCATGTAAGCTAACTACAGAGGGCCCTTGATTGGGCTTTCATCACAATACGTAAGGAGGAGTAGATGTGATAGGCAACAATAAACTACAGAAAAACTCTAAATTGATCATTGCTTTTAAGTATTGCATTAATATTTAAGTTTACCTTATAAAAGTTCTATGATAATTCTTCTGCCATGAATTAAAGACGATTTGATGTACGTAGGTCCTTACTTTCTGTATAAAAAATTATTTTTATTTCATGGGTGGCTTTTGCTGGATTTCGCAATTTTGATTATTTCCAAATTTATTTCTAAGTTATAAAAATTATTATACAAAAAAAAATTGCTGAAAACAATCACTGTAATGAAAACTTGGGAATTCAAAATTTCAGGATTGTAGGTCTGGAACGAGCCCAGAATGTTTTTAATTTGCTCACAGTCAGCATGATTCCAATATGTTGAGCTACTGCCTCTAGGAGTAAAGTTGAAAAAGTGTGACACACTGGCATTCACATTTATTATATAGATGTATGTAAATACATAAATAAGCTTGTAGTCACACGATAAAAAAAAGGCATTTATTTTATGCAACAAATATTTATTAAATCTTATTCCAACAATTGAACCCCCGCCTTTTTCAAATATATGGCAAATACCATTTTCAAATAAACTAACAGTATAGAAGTGAAAAAAGAAAGATAGGTGAGGCCTAAAAAGTTCATGGAATTATAAAAAGCAAATGATTTAATGTCTTATTTAACAGTCTGGGAGGAGTCGTCCATTTAAACATGAATAGAGTGGGAATGTAAATCACAAAAGTCAATTCATGTTCAAGTCACATTCACTTTCAACTTCTCAACTTTGGGAGTGCTGTGTTTGTGTAGGTGTTTTTTATTACAGTGAAATTATATTTTGTGAGAAAATGAAGGCTTTTAACATCTTATATAATAACATATATATTTTTTGTTTTAAATTCATCCACCCCCATGCTAGGTCACTAAGACGCTAAGGAGTAATGGGAGTGAAATAGAATGCAAAGATTTTAGGAACCAGAAACTAAATCCTAAAGAGGAAACAAGGAATAAACCTCTACTCATGTTAAAAAAGCTGGGGAGGAGTGTGAACAGATTATAAATATATATATATATATATATATATATATATATATATATATATATATATATATATATATATATATATATATATATATAAGAAGAGAGGGTAAATTTGAGTGATACTCCAACAAAATAGTAAATCTGTAAGACAATTTGTAAATGTCTGACCTTAAATTTACCTATGAACTGAGTCAAAATAATTAACTACCATTCTTAGACTGAATTCTTATAGAATTCAGTAAATCCCAAAAGCAGAAACTCTTGCCACATTTATTTATATATATATATATATATATATATATATATATATATATATATAATCTCCAAACAAATTTTGTTGATTGATTTGTTTTCTACAGCTTATGAACACTTTGCAGGTTATTTAACCATGCATTAATCACATGTGGTATTTTGTATACCCCCAAATTTTTAAAGTACGGTGGAACCTCAATTTAACAAACTAATAGGGGGGGAGGGTTGTCAGTTAAAGCCATTCCTCTGTTAATTTGAAACACTTTTTTGCATGGCCTAAAAACACCCTGTACAGTACAAAATTATTGTAAATAAACATAAATACAGTAAATATTTATGTGTATTTTATTTTTAAGTTATTGTATACCTTTAAATAAAGTTTTTGACAAATTTTAAAGTTAAATCTAGAGTCCGTTGGATTCCGGGACTATTAGTTCAAAGGTTTTATTCTACTTGTAATTCCTAGTTGGTTTTTGTTGCTTCCTCCCATTTCTCTCCTGGGTCTGTGGAAGTGTGTAGCATGTGGTATGGTACAGTTGTAGCTCAGTTACCATAGGAGACAGATACCAGGGAAATATATATACATTTTGGATAATCTGAAGTGACTAACACATGGTTAAAGCCTGAAAATATTTTTAGATTGTCAAATTTATTTAAGATAATAATGGTTAAATGATACAAGTCTTACTAATTAACCCATAGCTGGGGTGAGAAGAGGTGGATTCATAGGTTTCCTAAGGTATTTACACATAAGTGAATGTAATGAATCCAACAGGAATTTGAACTCAACTCTCTCATTAACAATTCTGAGCCATTATCCATTACACCACCCGCACATCAAAGCTTACAGCATCTGATATTCCTAAGTTTGCCCATCTAGGTACTGAACAGGCTTAACATTGCTTAACTTCTTTGATCATACAGGAACCAATGTTTCAACATGATGTGGTTGTAAGCCACAAATTTTGTTAAATTTAGTCAACAATGTCTGTTCATTTAATTTTTTTATTGTATTTTTCCAATTTTCAAATAAAATGTACTTGGTGTTCAAAATTTAAATAGATTGAAATTCAGGTTTTGTTCTCTTCTGTTGAAGTACTTTCGACCATCACTGCCATAATCAAGAACTGGATGTTGTCAGTGTGTTAAAAAGAGAAAAGGATGTCTACACAAACACGTGTATCCAGTTATTTGATTAAATAAATGGAGCATTTACTTGAATACAAGTATCCATCTAAAATAACGTTTAAGCAAGACAAATTAAAAATGTCAGATTTAATCCATTTCATAATATATATATGTATATGTATATGTGTGTGTGTGTGTATTTCATTAAAGATGATTGACAAGATTCTGAGATTAAGCTTTTTATTTAATTTTTCTTTATTCAATCTGTTTGTACAAATGTTTTCTTTTCTGGACATAAAGTGTGTGAAAACTGTTCAAATGTTCTAAATTTTGTAAGCGATTTCAGGTATTCTTTTAGCCATTATCAAGGATGGATTTTATTTTTACTTTTTAACTCAATGTATGGGTTGTGTGTATGTATCTAGAGTTATAGGAATATTTTATTTTCAAAACACAGTCAGCACATTGTGACTGTGTTCATTGTTAATGTTATTGAATGTTGGCTTTTCTTTTTTTAGTATTAAGGCTTCCATTATTTTTTATCTTTTTTTATATATCTTGATAAGGTTATTATACTTGTATTTTCTACCAGTATGTTTCAGATGGAGTCTGGTAGGTTTGTTTAAATGAGTTCTAATGGAGCTGTGGTTGGATAGGTACATAAGTCATCTGGATAGGCATGTAGTAGTGTGACTAATGTAATTATTTATGAGTTTGGTTTGATCAGGAACACAGTTCCTTAAGGGGCATTTGAACTCGTAAATAATGTTGGTTCTTTGTAGTTTTGATTTTGCAGGTGTGTTGGTATTTTTGAGGATAAGGTTAGCTGCTATTTTAAATTTTTATAATTTTTACACAAAGAAAACACTTGTACAAAAACAAGAAAAATTAAATAAAAAAGCTTAATCACAGTCTCATGTCAGTCAATTTTAACGAAACATATTAAAGAAGGATTGCTGCCTAAATACAATATATATATATATATATATATATATATATATATATATATATAATATATTTATATTACCACTCTTTCTCATTTTAACCTTCTATTTATCTTTATTGTAGCCAAAGGAGACCTCAACAAAGCACTTACATTTTATTTTGCCTCTTTATCTAAGAAACGGATACTTGCCAAATTTCAAGAACACTTACTGGTGACAACACTTTGCAATGTCGCTGGACAGTTATCAAAGACAAAACGCAAACATGGTAAGTTGAGGAATCTGGAAGGAAATTATCAAATTGAAAATGTATATTGACCTTTTTTTTTTCTCTTTTTTTTTTAAAAAAAAAAACATTTCCCCCCATACAAGACATAAAGCCACTAAGATGCAAGGGAATACAGTGTGTGAAAGAATATAAGAAAAAAGCATTAAGGAGAGAGGACAATAATTACAGGAATTAAGACAAAAAATGACAAGTGACATTGCGTTTAAATTTCTTAAGAGGATCATAAATGATTGGAAAGCAAGAAGCTGAAAAAGTTCCACAAGCAAGAAGTGCAAGAAAAGAAACTTTTAGCATACAACTTCAGGTTACATCTAGCGGCCATTTCATCTGTAAGATAAGACATTGCCACCAATATAATAGTACGCTTAAATTCATGAAGTCTTGGTAAAATGAGAAAAGCTCATCTGAACAATGAAAATATTTATAGAAAAGTTATAGGGTAGCTATGTTACACATGTGGGAAAGTGATTGGAGCCAAGATGCCAAGTCAAGACTGTTAACATTACAGATTCTACTTTGAATTTTATCAAGTATCTCTAAATGCATAACAGAAGCACCAGACCAGATGTGACAAAAATATCAAATGCACAGATGAATGTTAGACTTATGAATGTGTAAGAAAGATTCTGGTGAGAAAAATTATCTAAAACAATACAGTGAACCATCTTTCCTAGCAGAAAACCTAGCAATTGATTCACAATATTCTTTCCATTTCATGTCAGAGGAAAATGTTAACCTGAGGAAAGGCAATGAGTTACTCTCTTGGAGGGTTAGCATCAGCCATGCAAAAATTGTCCTCTAAAATTATTAAAAGAGAGCATTTTCATTTTGAAGGTGTTAAAATTAACAAGCTATTTCTTGCCTCAGTTAACAACAGATTGTAGGTCATTTTTGAGGTCAGCTGCCAATTCGACCATAATGAAACCCATCAGACTTATCAATAACACAAAAGTTAAATAGTTGTGTCGTCAATATAGATACCAAGGAACTGGTGACATCAGGAAGGTCATTAATGAAAATTAGGAAAAACAGAGGTCCAAGGATAGAGCCCTGGGGGACACTCACATTAATGTAAAAAGATCTAAAAGAGTGGCCATTCAAGATAACTTTTATTTTTAATTAGACAATAAATTTGAATCAGATCAAAAATTTGTCCAGAAATACTGTAACCTTTCAACTTGTGAAGAAGACCAGCATGCCAAACCCTGTCAAATGCTTTCCAGATATCAAAAGCAACAGCCTGGGTTTCACCATTGTTATTTAAAGCTTGACAGACTTTTTTTAGTAATAGCTATTAACATATCACCAGTTTACCTAGAGAAGCAAAAGCCATATTGCTTGTATTAAAGAAGACTTTATGAGGTGTGATGCGTAACCAATTCAGACTTGATTAGAGCCTCTAGGACATAAGTAAATTATTCAATTTGATGGCCTTGGAAAATATTTGGTGCAGCTCCATAGCAGACAGTAAACAGTTGGTAAAAAAAAAAAAAAATTAATAAAACAAATGCATGTATAGTGACACTCAACAAGTTGGAGTGAGGGAGGGTTAGGGATAGCATTTTTTGTTCTGGTTGTGAAATATATACCAAAGCAACCCCCCCACCACCACAAAAAAAAAATGGAAGAAAATACAAAGTAAATTCCAGTTTTAATTTCTCCAAAGAGTATTTATCATTATTTATATTTGGGCTAATGTCTGCATCTTCAGCCATTGTGCTCTGTCGATTTCTTAAGGTGTTTCTTGATCAGGGGTAAACTTTAGGGAATTTCAAATTGAGCCCTTTATTCAATCTACAGAGATACATTGTTTTCATTCTTCAGTTCATGTCAAGAGATACTTCATCTTGTTCTTACTTTACCCAGATCAACAGACACCTAAAGAAGGTTGGAGAGTATAATGGCTGAGATATTGTGATAATAACAACAAAGATAAGAATATTAATCAGTATGTAAATAAGGCAGATTTTGTGTTTTTTATATTAACAATGGTTTATTTTCTTTCTTTTTTCCTCCCGCCAGATTTTGCTTTGAGGTTTTTGTATGAAGCAGAAGAAATCAGAAAAAGAGCTGGTTGGGTTCATAGCTACTCTGCTTTGGTTGTCTGGAATATTGGCATGGTCTTCATGAGAAAGTAAGTGAAAACCTTCCATTTGTCATCTCGGCTGCTATTTCATCTTTTAAAAAATTGTCTGTATGCTCCCCCCCCCTTACATACAGTAGAACAAAACAAATCCCATTGTTAACACCATCTTTGAAACAACAGTTTCACTATCAGTTTATATATATATATATATATACATATAGATATTGAAGTCAACACTCAGAGGTAACAGTTTATTTTCTGCTAACTGTGATCGTCAGACCATGTGCATTGTATTTTTGCTGGGCTATTTATATATACAGGACAGGTCAGTGATGTATTGTGGGTAGTACCTACCTGTATATATAAATAGTTGAGCAAAAACACAACACAAATGGCTTGACAATTACATTTAACATGAAACAGACTGTCACTTCTGGGTGTTGACTTCAGCATCCACTCTTATATTTACATACACAATCCCTGATATTATTCCACAAATATAGCATACCTTAAAACTATTTTATCATCATTGTAACCTAGGAAAGGTTACTGAATAGAATAATCAAACGAAGGTTGGTAATGAACGATAATACTTAGGACAAGAATAACACATAAGATTCGCCAGTGGCGCATAAAAGTAGTAGTCAAGCACTAGGAGTCAAGTGAATTCCACAATGAATCTCTAACATTAGACCACTTACAGTATTCACTAATGTATTTATGGGAATGGAGGCATGCCCATTATCATCCATAGATATGCTTCAACAATCATATATATATATATATATATATATATTTAGGAATGGACTTTTTATTTATTAATCCAACATATTTTAATTTATTGCTTAAATGTTATTTTTAATCGATACCCATATTTGAGTAGATTCTCTGTTTTTATTTATTTACATTTTCTGGCCTTGAATATTTGAGAATTCTTGTTAGAAAAATATGTGTCCCCTAGGGGAAACCATCATTAGATTAGATGTGCCTTACACCAACTCGGCCACGTAGAACGTCCTGATCAAAAGAAAGCCAGATGTCAGATTTAATCCATTTCCTAAAAATTGTCTTTGTTTATGTTAGGATATGAAACCGAGCAGCGATGTATATTTTGAGAATCAGGAAGATATGTGCTCAAAAGTTTTATTTGGGTTTTAGGGTTAGTCAAGAGGGTCCTATGTGGCAAAGTTGGTCTAAGGCACGTCAGATCTAATGAAAGTTTCCTCTAGGGGACACAGGTTCGAATCCTGCCAGAAGGAGAATATTTTTCTGACAACATTTCTTGAATATTCAAACCAGTAGATGTAGATAAATAAATATACTGTTTAATAAATAAATAAAAGCAGAGAATATGAGTATACATTTAAAATAACATTTAAACAAATAAATTAAAAATGTCAGATTTAATCTATTTCCTAAAATAATGCCCAGTGGCAACAGTCCGTTTCATGCTTAAACACAATTGTCAGGCCATGTGTGCTGTGTTTTGGCTTGACTATTTATATATGCTAGTTAGTGGTGCATTATGGCTAGGTCTATTGTATTATTCTAACAGTTATTTGGGTGGGCAGTAATGTTTATCTTTAGAATTATTCTAAGGGCTACTGAGTGGAAATAATTGTAGATTTGAATGTAATTTTGTGGCTATTTTGTAGTGTTAACTTTTTACTCAATTATTATTGATTATCTTATTTGTTGTTGGTTGTTATGATTACATTTACTTGGGTTTATGTGTGTGTTCATAGTTTGTTAATTTGTTTATTATTTATTTATTGATTTGGATTAATTTATTTTACTTATTTATTTTATTATTTATTTTTGTTCATTTTAGTTTAGGACTTTAAGTAACATAGTAAAAATTTGTTTTTGTCTGCATTTTGAGATTAGTTCTGATCATTTATTTAGTAATTTGTGTTGGTCTGGGCAGGTAATTATAACTATTTTCTCCTACAGAGTTTGCATTTATTGCTGTAGGCTGATGCTGTTTTCCTTATTTTCCATGATGTAAAGTGGTTTTTGTTTTTAATTTCACCAGATATATTTAGAAAGCATTGTGCTGTTCACATATTTACTATTTGTAAAGGATGTTTTGTGTATGTAGCTTCTTTGTTTCCAGGGTCCTTTAGTTATTCCTATGCATATTTTTCTGCATTTTGACAGTGGCTTGGTATATTACATTGTTCTGCAGTTACACGTGGGTTTGATTTCTAAGGATGGTTTATTGGTTGTTTTCCTGTTGTGCTTTTTTATTCTTTGTGTCATGTTCCCATTGAAACTGTAACTGATTTTTGTTGAATGTTTGGGTGTGTATGTAATGTTTCAGTTGATTCACCATGTTTGTATAAAAAGAATTTATATCTGCCTTGAGAAAAATAATAGGAAAATTTAAGAAAAAAGAAGATAATAATTGACATTGCATTAAAATTTTTGAAGATCAAAGTTAAGCTGGAAGAAGATTTCCACAAGTGATAGAAGAAACTGTTAGCATAGGACTTACGGTTCCATCTAGCCATTTCAACTGTAAAATGATGAGACCATTTTAGTACTGTGCTTAAATTCATAAATTCTAGGTACCACAAAGGAAAGTTCATGAGAAAATATTATTTACTTTGAAAATATTTATAAAAAATTATTACAGCCTTATGCATCCAAACCCCTTAACTCTCCATACACTTAACACTTATAGCCAACCATCTCTCTTTCTCACTCTCTCTAATTGTAACATTCTCTCTGTCAACCTGTTGAAGACAGGCTGACCCTAGAAATAGAATCGGTAGAGATCTAAAAATAGCATCTCCCACAAGTGCAGAATCATGTGATCTACCATGAAAAGTTGAGCAGGAGAAATATTGGAAAAGTCATTTGGGTAGCAAGGCTTGAGCAATCAACACCCTTTTCACTTTTTATCAACCAAAGGGAATTGTGTTATGAAGTTCAGTTCCAACTCTCTCTCTCTCACGCACACACACAATGCTGCATAAGGACATATATTTGACAGGTCAAATAAAAATAAAATAATAAAGGAAAAAAAATATTCATATAAAGGCTTGCTTAAAATATTTCTCTGAGCACCTAAAAGTTCTTAAATTGTTCTTAAGGGATTAACACTCATATAAATTTCTTCAGAGCTCTTGTTGAGGAGAAGACTGTTGGAAGATCCAAATTTTGTAGTTGAGTTTTTTACGTCGATGGCAGGAATTTCTATGTGCAAGAAAGCAGATCTTAATTAGTTTTTAGTAGAAGGCCGGCATTCTGTCTTTAGAGCCCAGCAGGTAGATCTCTTTCTTGAAACAGGTTCCAAAGATGACTGGTGTTCTATTGTCAACATGATGTTATCACAGACAAGGCACATATTCTCCATATTTATCGAAATTAGAAGGCTCAGAAATATTGGGAATTTTCCCTCCAAAATTGGTTATACACTTTACTGGCCCTTTCATTCATCAGAAAATATATTCTTATCTATGATAAGAATCAAAGTTTTGGGAGCTGCTTTTTGGAAGCAAGGGTCTAACAATTTGTGAGTGTTGCCCACAGACTTTATGGCACCATAGTCAGGGTAAGAATGGTTGGATTCTTTTCTCTACCAGCTCTCTTGTTCATCAGAAAATATATTCTTATCTCTAAGGATCAATGCTTTGGGAGCAGAAGTTTCAATGCATGGACAAATGGTAGACTTATAAAAGTGTAAGATAGATTCTGGCAAGATCAATTGTTTAGGACAATACAGTGAACTAAGTTTCCTATCAGTAAACCTAGAAATTGATTTATTATTATTATTGTTCCTCTTCATATTGTTGTAGTAAAGAAAAGACTGTCAACTGATAGTAGTAACTGCAATAGAGTTCTTCTGTTTCTTGGCCGCAACACTTGTAGCCAAATCGCAGTTCACACGATAATCCGATGCAACAGTCCAACATACAACGTAGAAACGACCAGATGGGGTCACACATCCAACATTCACTTCTCACCAACAACAACGCGTGTTCGTTCCACCAAGCTAAAAAAAATCATCTCCTTTTATAAGCGAAAAACAACGACTTCTGCTCACTGAGAGAATTTTCTGATTGGTCACGCCATTCAGGGGAGAGAAGAACATTAGCATAGCTTCTAGTCATTGAGTTAGATTTTTGCTAACTACTTTTTGGTAATTTTTCTTCTGGCAGATTGCACACAAAGCACAAACTTTTTTTGCGGGGTAACTGATTATTTCTTTCACTACACATATCAGTGGAAAACATTAGCCTGAGAAGATGCAATGAGTCACTCTCCTGGAGGTTAGCATCAGCCATACTGATAAAAAGAAAAAAAAAGAATTGTCAATCACAATACAGTGAACCAATTTTCCTAGCAACTGATTTTACTTTATCTATAAGTTAAAAATAACATTTTAACTTTAAAAATATAAATAAAAATGAGAATTGAACAGATCAAGACTTTGTTAGAAAATCTAATTCCACAATTTAAATTTCAGTAGATAAATAGTCACTGTTTTTTTTAAAAAGAAAGAGAAATGATTTTGATTCCAATAAAGTCTATTCAAAGATCTAAAAAATCATTTCAGACTATTTCAGTGAAGTAAAATTAGACAAGTTGTAGCATTTCTCCTTGGACACCCACCTGGTTAAGTTTTAAATGTTGCTTTTTGAGTGATTGCTGTGGCTTAATGTTAAAAAAAAGAGAATTGTTCTCATTTTATTCAAATACCTCAACAGTGAGAAGGGACAGCTGCTATAAGATTTTGGAAACGGGGATGGAGAGACAAAGAATGTCAAATAGAGCTGCTTCTTGTAGCACTTGCCAGTGATGGCTGGCTAGTTGACAAAATGGTTCTACTTTTATGAAGCTTCAACATCTTCCTTTTGTCAGCTTGACGAGGAAAATTCACAGCTCCCAACCCACACTCGTTCCCAATATCTAACTCAAGACTGAGCAGAGATAGGTAAGAGTTTTTCCACCTCCAAGGGCTTTGACCTGTCAAGGCAAATTAAAGTGTCATTTTTCTACTGCCCGGTTTGTTTAATTAGCAAAATTCTATATTGCTACAAAGTGAATGTAGTTCTCACCAATGGACCAGTTACTCGGCCTATATTCCCTTCTCCAACAGTACCAGTTCTGCTGGCTTTGGACATGTACACCATATGCTGGACATTTCGAAGATCCCTTCTGTACAGGGAAATAGCCACTGGCAAGAGGTCACAAGGGCGATTTCTGCAAAAGAGATGAGGGCAATGGACATCAAGAGGTGGGAAGAAGTTGCCAACAATTGCTCGTGCTGGAGATTCACTTTACACCGAGAGCTGGAGTGAGGAGAGAAGAAACGGAGACTTGCTGCCTGGAAGAAGCATACTTGATGGAAAGAAAACAACACGTCAACATCAGGGAGGGGGCTGTCTTCACATGCATTCCTTGCAGTCAAGACTGTCACGCTCATGTGGGCCTGTACAGCCATAACAGATGCTGCACCACCATCAGCAGTTGAGGCAAAACTCTTTGGGCGCAGATCCAAGGTTTCTTAAGACAGATGGATACCACACCCAAAGTGAATACCACAAAAACAACTTTTGATTTCAGTATTGGACAAATTGCAGTCATTGATGTTTTATTAAAATCAAAGATTCTTAATTTTTGAACTTTAGATTAATACTAACAAAGACTCTACTTAAATATAGTGATCCACTCTTAAAAAAAAAAAAAAAAATAGGAAAATAATTTTTGTAGGTTTTGTAGGCATTCATTACACTTTCCTTAGGCCATGACACTAAATATTGTCTTCAGAATGGATATTTTCTTTGTCGTTTTCGCCTTTAGTCATTTTACACTATACTGATATAGCATAAAATCGATCCCCGACTTTTACAGAGTTATTGGCCTTAAGCTAAGTGACTTAGCTGTTATTAAACAAATGTCAAGTTTGAAACTGTGCGAAAATTATTGATATCTCCATACTTGTTTTTGCAAGTGGTTCATAGTGCAACATGATGAATCCTGCAATTTTTGACATAAATTTTGTTTGAAGAAAAGTATTGTCAAAGGTCAGGAATTAATGCATGCATTACTCATAGAAGGCTATCATAATATAAAAGATTGAATAAAAAGCTTTCTTCTCTGATTTTTGGTTTTCTTTGCAGGCAAATGCAAGCTGAAGCTTTAGTGAAACTTAAAGAAGCAGAAAAATTATATGCAGCAGTGAATCCTAGCCATTACGTAAATGCAGAGGTGAAAGTCTGGCTGGCCCACTGTCATCTTCTGTTGAACAATGCACAAGAGGCAAAGCAAATATCGTTGGAGGTCATACGTGATCGAGAAATCTATCATAAATATCGACCACAAGGAGAATTTGCTTTGAATTCTCTTGAACATTTAATTCGCCTTAGTATTCTGGACCCAAAAGTAAGCAATTCTAAATCTTTCTTTTTATACAAAGCAAAGTTGTGTGTTTATTAACTCTTCTAATATAATTTTTCTACAAAGCAACACTCTACAATGGCTGTATGATAATATAAGGTAATATATGTACATATACATGCAATACAAATCTGATTGTGTAATGTCTTGTCTTGATCAAGTCTTTATTATGACTAGGACTCCAGACTAACCTTTTCACCATCATCCCACTCTTCTTCAGTATAGGTACAATCAAGTCATTTAATGTATGTAAAATGACAAGCCTTTACCTTGTGACCCCAGGTGCAAACATGTACATTGGTTCCGACATTATTTTAAGCAAGAATATAGAATCTTTACTAGAGACCATCACTGAATTTGGTTTTGTGAAGTTGCAAAGTTTTAGCAGAGTATAAATCAGCATCATCCGCTTGATTTTTGTAATTGGGGGATCCAAATGCAGAGGCGACACTGAATCTCCTCCACAATGGTCTATTAATGGCAGCCATCAGTAATTCTGGTATAGTCATACCTGTCTATTGTTTGACATTGCCAGTTTTTGCGTCTCCTACATCCACCTTCAACAGTGATGGTCATACACAGGCTGTCGTGCCTTGTAATATGTCCAAACTATGCCATTTTTCTTCATTTGACAGTGGCAAGAAGAGGTTCCTGATGACCCACAAAACTTTCAACCCTTTTCAAAACACAAATTCATTGGTTTTATGTTCCCAATAGAAGATGCCAAGGAGTTTTCTCCTGCATTTGTTCTCTTCCGACAAATAAGTTCTTTAAATGTCAATCATTAACAATTTTCAAATTATTCCATCTAGAATATATAAAAAAATTACATCCAAGACTCTTTATATTGACTTTTGATTATTATTCTTTGGAAAGGCATGAGTCCACTGATCCCTGCACTGTTCCATCAGCAGATTCCTTGAAAAAATATTATAACTGAAAGCGGAAACATTCAACAAGTTCTATGCATTAAATTTTTCCCTTCTAAAAGAATGAATATGCAAAACCTTCTGCCACAAATGCAAGCTTTTTGATTAGCTAAGAATTAATTTGAAATAATGGCTACCATTTAAAAAGAAAGCAAAAGAAAAATTTGTTGTATTCAAAAAAAGTTTTTTGTATTTAAAAACAAAACAAAAAACTCTTTTTTTTTTTTTGTTATTTTTGTAGGAACAACAAATTTACATTGAAGAAATTTTAAAAGAGCTTCCCAGACTATACCAATGTCCAGGTGTGAGCGCAATCACTTCAAGGAAATATCGTCAACTCCTTATCAAATACATGGAGATATTATTGAAAAGTTCAAATAACTACATGAAATCTGAACCACGTCCAGGATTGTTTCTCACTTGTATCCCAGACACTTGCCTTGCTTGCCAAGAAGTCCTGACTTATATGTGTCCCAGAGATGTATATTTGCGAAAACTGACTTTGCTGATGCCAACTTGTCATGGTTTTGACAAAATAAATAGAACTACTCCATCACCTCTGTTTCACAGAACCCAACAAGGACAAATGGAGAGCAAGATTGAAAAAAAAGATCTTAGGACCTTAACTACAAGTGTTTGTAAGGCTTCAAAAGAACTTAATAATGATAATAATAATAATTTTCCCTTCCTGAAACCTGAAATCTCTGATAAAAGTTTCAATTTAAATATTCTTCCTTTACCAGTGAAAGAACTTCCTAAATCAAGTGAAAATGCACAAATTCTTGAACAAGAGGCACTTCCAAATCTTCCAGATTTTGATGCTTTATTTTCATTGGAAGAGAATAATGCGTATTGTGAAAACAGCCAAATCCAGCCAGAGATCAAAGTGCAAACATCAACAAGACAAAACTGCACAACAGAGACAATTGGTAACAATGGCATAATAAAACCTCTCTCCAGGAGTTTGTCCAATAATAATAATTCCATTCCTTCCCCTGTGTGTCCTTCAAAGGATTCAAATTATTTCCACTTACAGAACGGACAATACAGTCCCAAACCTCTACAAGCACAACAAAGCTTGAAACCATTTTGGAAAAATTACAGCATTTCTCAGGATTATTTTATAAGTCAGAATGAACCCAAGAAAGTAAATGAAGGAAACATTTTTGATGCTTTAAAAGAAAAAAAACAAACTTCTGAGAATCTTAGGGAAATTTCTAGTTTTCAGGGGCCTTTTTCAATCATTCCCACAAAGCCAAATTCCTCTCCCCAAACAAACAAAAATCATTGTACTAGCACCAACATCAATATTGATTCTCTCAGAAACCAAAACATTTTGGACTTAAGGCTATCAGTAAATGACAGCTCTAAGCAATTTTCTAAATTGCCATCTTGGTTAATTTCAAAGAGAGAACCTGTCGAACATGAAGAAAGGTTTAATTAAAATCTCTTGCAATAGGAACCAGTATCTTCAGCTATGGATTTTCACATTTAACATTCTCAGAGAAAGATTCAAACAACACCAGTTTTATAAACCCAGATCATGAACGCCCCCCCCCCACCTCATAATGAAAATGGCTTCACCCATTAATATTCACCATGAATTAATTTTTGCAGATAATAGAATTGGATATCAGTTGAATTGGCAAGAAGAGTTAAAATTCTAATATAGCTTCCTTTCTCTTTCACTTGGGAAAGGCATGTATCCAGCTATTGGTTAAAGAGCAGACTAGACTTGGATCTCGACTTAAATGGCAACCAGTCTAAGAAAAAGCTAAATTCCAAACTATGAATAGGACGATGGGAGACAACTCTGACAGGTTTCCCACAGATTTGTGTAAAAAAAAAAAAAAAAAAATATTCCAGGACTGAAACTGGGGCATGCACACACACAAAGTGAATAGCCATCAATTTTCAAAACACAAACTTTATGATTTATCTTTTAATAGTTTGACACATGAGATGTTCAAAGAAAAGCTACACCTGGTTCCAATAATTCATGTCACATGCCTCAACTGAAAGCAGTGAAGAAATCAAAGTGTTGAAGGCTAAAACAACTGAACGCAGACTTGGTTATGTTACACATTTTGTGTAGCATTTGACAGTTCGGAGTTTTAGTATACTTTAACATTTTGACCGACACACTTTAATTCTTACTGCTACACATTTCGGCTATCTAGACGACTCATGGTTTGTGAAGCTTACAAAAATTCTTGATTGCTTCACATTTCCTCTCAAGCTAAGTATAATGGTTTTAATGAACAGAACTACAAATAGAAATGTTCACAAAAAGACTATACATTTTAGCTACCCCTACTAATCATGGCTTTCATTGCACAGAACAATGATGTTAACATTTTTTCAGTTCATCTAGTTTAGCATTCAGCTCCTCTTCCAATTTTGATATCTCTATGGATTTGTCCTTTACAGATCTTTGCATGGCATTGGACTTTGTAATAAATGTGAAATTCTGAGTCTGCTCAGTTTTCTCCACATAGCTGACAGCTGACTTGAGGGCAACTTTCAGGCTTGTGTTTTTTGGTCTTCAGTTCTTCAATTTCCATAAGTATGGATTTCTGTTTTTCTCCAGCTGCTTCTTCCTGCCTTTTTTTTTTCTTCTCAGCCTCAAGGTGTTGGTCATATGTTGTTCTGGTATTGGAAGCACTGTAGAGAAGAGCCTCAGTCATGGGAACATTCCCAGCACCTCCAAGTGTGGCCAAATAGTCTGTGATAATGCACTGTGCAACCAGAATCTGCTGTCTCATATTGTCAATGGAAATTTCCTTATTGACTGAGAAACCTCTCTCCATGAGAGAGTCTCAACAATCTGCAAACAACTTTCCAGTTTTTGATAATCTTTGTTGCTAGACGGTCTTCATGTTGGCTGAAATTCTTGTAAAGCAAAATTTCCAGCAGCCTCCTCCTCGTCATTGACGATGTCATCAAAATCAGACTTACTAATTTGTTTTCTGTCCATCATGTAGGAAAGACATCTTTTTTTAGACTGTCTTCTGTTGGTAGATATTTTTACAAACGGATCTAGGGTTCAGCCATGCAAAGAGATCTTGTAACAAATTTCGTTTTTTGGATAAATTCGGCATAGCCCTGTCAGGAATCCACATTTGATTTTGATAAAATTCTTACAAATTCATTCAGTTTGGAAAAAAAGTCTTTACAAATCTTAACAGTTACACGATCATGCTAAAAATATCATCTACAAGGAAAGGAAGAAACAGTTTATCACTGATATAAAGGGTTTGATGTCTTTCCAGACACAAATCTGCAGTTTTATTTAGGAATAAAATGTCATTTACAGCAGCGCAGTGAAGGATTTGGCTTGGGGATTTTTTTAATTATTTAAGTTGAAAATAACAGAAATACCTTTTAAAGCAACAGTAGTCGTGTTTTTAACTGATGGTAGCCATGTTTATATGATTGATGAGTGATGACAGACATATTATTGTTCTACGGAGACTTTATCTGTTAAAACACAATTTAACAAAATGACAGGTGAGCCCCTTTTTTTTTTTATATAGTTTTCACGTAATAACAATATCACCTAATGGATTTAAACTAATGTAGAATTTTAAAGATTATTAATCAATTATTATAGATAAAACTAAAAAAAATGAAATCACTTCTGGTAAAAAATTCATTATTCATTGAAAAAACTTTTTCTATTAAGACAATAGTGTCCTTAATAAATCTTATTTATAAAGACAATTAAAAGCTTTTCTAATTAAATATCAATAACATTATTTTATTTTATGATTTGGAGCAGATTTCCAGGAAATGAGTAGCAGTTTGAAAGAAAAAAAAATTGATAATTTATATTCTCCAAGAAGGCCTGCTTCTCACTAATAAAAAAAATTGGGATGAAAATTTAATTTCTTGAAATTAAGTGGAGGATAACATACATAAAAAAATTTTTACCAAAATTTTCTAAAACAAAAAAAAATTCAAAAATAAAGACTAATCATTATGTCAACTGCTAACACAAAAAAAATTTGAAAAAATAAAAATTTACCAAAATTATTTCAAATGTGCTCAAAAGTACTAAAATGTCAGCCAGACTGTAGCCAAGACCCAAATAAGATTGTCGATATTCTCCTAAATGGTAGGTTTACACAAACTTTTAATGCTGTTTTTGGAATATTCAGACTTTTTTCACTACACCAGAAATGATTAATCTGCAATTTTACGAATTAATTTATCTTTGACAGAGATGTTTACTTGTTGCTGATGCCTATTATCTTTGTTTTTCTACTTTTCTTATTGATTGAGGGTAGCAGTTAGAAGACATGCTTTCATATTCTTTCTCATTACCTAGATGAGAAAATACAAAAGTAACTACAAGGTCATGAACTTGTTCTTTAATCAAGGAAACAAACCACTTCTCATTGATGATGAAAAATCATTTTTCTTAAAGGACAATTTCAGCTTGTTAAAAAAAAAAAAAAACAAAACACATTTGGCATTTTGGATTTTCACGAATTAAGAAAATTGACCCCCTAAGAAAAGGCCTTGCTTATTTTCCAGGACCTGTACAATCCTTGCTCTTCTTACATTTCTAAAGAATAAAAGAAAGTAAATCTGTGGAGAGCCATGATTACTGACATCCTGAACAGATGGCATTAAAAAAAAAAAAAAAAATGTGTTATTGACATTAATAGGGTGTCATTTTGTGTAAAAAAAAAAAAAAAAAAAAAAAGTTTTTGCTTTTTTTTTTTTTTTATATATGTTGTAAATCTCAGAAAATTCTGAAAATTTAAGTAAAAATTCATAACCTTATGAAAATGCTGATTCAGCAAAATTTCAACTTGCGATATCTTGATAACAGGAATTTTCACATAAAATTTTCTGGATTTCTTAATGACTATAAGATCTACAAAAAAAAAAAAAAATCTATTTTTTGGAGTTACATGGAATGATCCTGTGTTGAATTAAAAGGTGTGGGGGGGGGTGAACTTAGTTATGTGAACTGAGAGTTAATGAAGTAATCAGCTTCTTACTCTTCTACAATTACTTTCCGATATTCAAAATAAAATCAATATCTACTTTTAACCAAAGATAAGATTTATGGTGCACATCTACCCAATGATATGTAACAAAAATAAGTCAAAATAAATAGCAAATACTTTAATGACATTTATAAAATGAAAATGAAAGTTTGATTGGTTAAATGACTTGTGGTGATAGTTGTTTCCCTTCATCAACATGAAGACTGACAATGTGATGGCCTGGAACCATTGCCAAACCCAAAATACGAGGTTCTTCATGTTCATCAGAGTCTGAAACAACAAATACAAACAGTTTTAAAGGTTTCCAACCAAAATCGAAGAATGTATATTTAACACACACACAAATTCCCAGCATTAGCGTTTTTGGAAGACTAGCTTGTCAACACTGCTACATAGTCTTATAATAATAGGAAGGTCATTCCAAAAGGAAAAGCAACCTA